CGTATTCGCAATATTTTTGCTATTTACACTATTCTATTCTCATATTAAATTATAAATATTTAAAAGAAATAAAGATCAAGTTACAGGGTAAATTGAGTAGTATATAAAAAAAGTATAATGATATTGCAACTTTCTTAAAAATGAATTCTTTCGTAATACTTTGCTAAAATATTAGGAAGACATTGTTCACCATTTAAAAATTTAACATAAAATAATAGGATTAATGAAATTAATTGATGAATATTATAAATATAATCTAAATTATTACTGACAATAAATTCTATCAAACCTTTTGAGGTTTAAGTTTATCATACATTATTTATATATCAGCAACTTAATTATAACTAAGATTTAATCAAAATTTTCATAATTCTAATACAATTTAAAGTCTACAGAGCAGGTTTCTCCTTGCAGCACCATTGAGAATATGATCCTAGAGCATACATCCCTTCAATTTAAATTCCTGAAAAATGGTTGTAAGGGTGAGTAATCTCGTTCTCAATAATCTTTTAGTTTAAAAGCCATTCAAATTAAAACAAAACACATAGATTCTAGTGCTAACATAGCAAATACTACTATTTTAAATACAAGATTAATAAATTTATTGCAGAAGCAATCATATTAACTATGCACCAACATAATATCAATCTAATCTTTTCACTAACATACGTTCCACAACTCAACAAATTATCCTATCACATCACCATTACATCAAACATTTATAATGTTTACATTATTTCATTCCTTCCATATTGAGCAGTATGTTATAATAAGTATATCACAACCATATTAATTAATACATTATAATACATGTATTACAATATCTGTATTATAATTACACTGATTAATTTGTTGTGATTCACCTATTATAAACATACATCTCACACATTCACATTCATTGCCTCTAGGATCCCTTGAGGTCTTACATACGTATAGATAATTGCTGGTTAGCCGCAACAATACAGATACAATGTGTGTCTCCCCAGCCACTTTTAGCAAAGATATAGTCAGGAGTCTCGTCAGGAGTTTCGTCAGGAGATAAGTGTGTGACCTGTGAATGTTTTTTCCTTCAACAAATCATTCTTCACTATCTTTCAATTAGCATTCACCATCCTCATTTTTTGAAGACTTTCCAAATCTTCTTCGGACTCTATATCTCTAGTGTATCTCTGTAACTATCTATACAAGTTCTCAGCATTTCTCATGATCCTTACTTTCTCAACATTTCATATTCCATACAATTCATCATCATTTCCTTTTTCACTTGATAATATAACCAACTTAAATTCAACATACATACTTATTCACATTAGCTCTTTATTCACAAATTCTGAGTAAATCCACATTTTCATAAGAACAAGAATTCATAAATTTCCACATTCATCAATTATCAAATATAAACTCATATTCATCACAAGACACCATTTAAGTATTGACAATTCATTCACCTATCTCACATTATTCACATCAATAAAGTGTGCCAAAGGTCGGTCACCATCGGTCTCAAATCAGTCGTGTAGTTAAACACATATTTAGCTAAACCACAGAGAAATTGTCGAAGATCACACTTTCTCGATCTTTTATAAAATCATCTATCCTAGAGTTCAACACTTTTTATCATCTATTATTCAAGATCATACTATAACAATAAGTATGCATATACATTAACATTTAGGTCATAAACTTTCTTAAAAACTTGTTTTACTTCTAATTTCTATTAAAAATCCTATCCATGTGTGTTTAAAAATAATTCATCATGCTTTCATGTTCTAAAGATTCCAGTCAATGAAGGCTTTACTATTTAGCACAAAAGTATTAAAATTTCTAAGCCAAGACATAGGATAAGAGTCAGAGTTCGGGATCTACTCCCTTTACCTGAAAATGAGCCTCTACTATTAAATCCTTCTAACTGTAACACGTCCAAAATGGAAAGTTTTGTTCAAAATATAGAGATAATCCTAAATATTACAAGATGAACAATCATTAAGAAAAAGAAAATCGAAGAAAAGAGATAAAACTAGAGATCTGAGCTTTGAGAAACTTACTTTGTTTCAAATGAAATAGATGTTTAAGCTTGGATCTAGAAGAAATTCAAAATTCGAGAGAGTTTTCCTTTGAGAGGGAAGGAGAGAGAACATAGAAAACGAGGAGAGAAAGTTCTTTGGTGATAAATGAATGTTTTTGGGGCTGAAGTTCCTTAAATAGCCTTCTAAACTCACACAATCTCGCTTGAGCGACCAGATTCTCGCTTAGGCGAGCTCTACCCAGACAACTAGACAATGAAACTATTCCTTTTTCTGCTATTCTCGCCTGAGCGAGATACAATCCAGAGACCTCTGTATTTTCTTATGACTTCTCGCCTAAGCGAGATTATTTCTCGCTTGGGTGAAAAGACAATTAGGTCAACCTTACCCTTTCTCACTTGAGCGAGAAAGCTCTAGAACGCCCTCCATAGAAAACTCCATCTCGCTTAAGCAAGAAGTCCTGCACAAAAAAATTTATTTTTCCTATATAAGGTTAACAAAATTGAGGGTGTTACATGCTCAGTCTCGCTTGAGTGAGATTCCCTACACCAAAATCCTTCCACAAATCCTCCATACTCACTTCTAAAGGTACTCTAATACTACTTCATACTAAACAAAACATAAATTACCAAAAAATAAAAAGAGGATGTTACACCAATCAAAGGAGAAATTAGCCAGGATTTTAGAGACACGACAATCTTTGAAGAAAGAGAGCATTAAAAGGTCCTTTTAGGTGCCTCTCAAATGTCTACACAGCTTCATTACTTCCATTCTTATCTTTGCACCATAATAGACATTTGTAAATAATTGTATATCTTATTGAGATTTTTTTTGAACATAGGATATCCTTTCAGTCTATACTCTTACAATAGTTGTTAGACAACAACTCACCTACCACACCCTACCCACCAAAAGACTTATCCTTAAACAATCACCTCAAAAACCACCCATCCTTCATTACCACTCCATTTCACCAAATGTCCTTTCCTTCAATGTCATCCTACCATTCTAAGACTCTCAATACACATGGAGACTTATCGATGGCCCATAGTATCAGAAAATTTCTCTTTCCATCCCATTACCACTAAGTTGTAAGAAATTTCAACATAAAGTTGCAAACAGTCTATTTTGAAAGCAATGATGAAGATTAATAAAAGTTGGCCAGATTGGATAATATAAAAGTTGCAATTGAAAGGTCTTCTTATGCAATCTATTTGACACTTTTTCAAAGAATTTGAGATGAGTCCCAAAATGGAATGTCTATACCCAAGAAAGAAATTTTTCTATGCTTGTTTGCCAAATACAAAATTCAACAATTGAGAAACCATCAATCTTCCTTTGATCTTTAATTCAAGTTCAAAATAAGTTTGCAATGATTCTAGTGCTTTACCGAAGGATTTACGATATTCTCTTTTTTGAAATTTTAACTAACATGTTTTCTTTTTGTATGAATGTTAAAATGCATTTTGAACTCTATTTCTTTACCCATTTTATTTCCAATTTTAGGTTCACTCTATAATTTTTATCATATGACATATTCCGACACCCTTCATTCATCATCCTATTTTCTAGTCCAAACAATGAAAATTTAAAAGTAACACACTAAAAGTGATAATACTAGTGTCATATCAAGTAACTTTGATCATCTCATTATTTAAGCGAATGAGAAAAGTTAATGTATTTGGAAATTTTCCCTGAGTTATGAATATGAGTGTAGTGAATAGTCATAGAGATTGGATTGCAAATACCAATTGGAGCAATTATTTTGGAAGAAAAATAGATATTTGAATTCATATCATCATGAAAGAACAATGAGTGTAATGGTATCATACTTTTGTACACACCATAGCTAAGGCAATTTTGTGTAGAATTGAAATAATTTTTCTTAAGGAAGACAAAATCTTAAATTCAATTTTGTGTTTGTTCAACCTAGCAGACAACTTTCTTTCTTTTTTTTTTCTTTTTTCCTCTTTTTTTGTGTTTTTATTTTTTTTTTTTAAAAAGAGATCTCCACCATCTATATCTGTGAGAAGTAAAGTCATGCTAGGAAATTCACGTGGTATAATGTATTCAACTTTTGATGTCCAAATGAGGTCTAATTCATAAGACCTCACATACAACTTTGTTAGTTTTAACTCAACAATAAAATAACAGTTATGGTGTTTGAACCATAACTGTGAATAACCAATTTTATCTTGGTTCCATCTAAATAAAGTTTTTTAAAAATAAAAAATAATAATAATAAATTATTAAATTAAATTAAATAAAAATTAGATAGGATTTTAAATTTTAGATCTATAAGAGGGAAGGATTTCAAATTTTAAATAGATAGATATTTTGGTTAGTGGAGAGAAAAACAATCAGAGGGTAGATTTTTAGGAGAAGTGGATGAGATGGTTCAGAAGAAAGTGATGGATGATCATCAGGAAATAAGGAGTCATAAGAAGTTAGAGTCATTTATCTAAATTAAAAAAAATAAATAAATGAGACTTAGGGTTTCAGAAAATGCCTATAAATAGGAAGTTTACATCATCATTAAAAAGAGTTTTTTTGATACGGTGAAACAAAACGAGAGAGGACAGAACCCTTTTGAAGAGCATAGAAAGAGAGAGAATTCAAGAGAAGAGCCTACAAAACAAAGAGAGAGAGGGAGGAAGAGAAGGAGATAAAAATGAAACCAAAGCTCTGAGAGTACTTGAAATTGAGAAAGAGGAGTGGGTCAAAGAGAAATCAACGTTCAACACCTTCAACGTTGCTTGGATTGTAAGGGTTTATTAAGTAGTTATATACTAACTTGAACCTTGTACAAGAGTGGATTTACTTAAAAAATAATAACAAGGTAAAAATTAAGTATTGAAAAAAAATCTTTGAAACTTACCTTAAGGCCCTATTGAATATAGAAACCCTATTCCACATGGTTTCTGAAGCCAAGACACGTGATTTGTAGAGGTTGATTCAATCAAAAGCAAAATAACAATGAAATCACAATGGTCAAATCTGCCTTATCACTTGCTGTCACGAATAGCTAGAGAGCTAGAACTAATTGAGTTCTTAAGCTTTCTTCGTGTTTGCAGTGATTGGCACATTACTTCTTCAAACATGTCACTGCAAGACAAATCTCATGAATTTGATCCTTGGTTTCTTAGTTACGGAAAGGGTTCTCAGTGTTCTCTCTTGAGCAACCGAGATAAAGTCTATAGTATCAACATTCTAGAACTTGAAGGAGCAACATGCCTCGCATCCTACGATGGATGGTTGCTTTTGTTTTGCCAAGGTTCAATGTTCTTCTTTTGTCCTTTTTCAAGAGCAAAATTAGAGCTTCCAAATTGTCCTTTCACAGAATTAATGAACCATGTTGTGGCGTTGTCATCTGCTCCCACTTCTCAAGATTGCAATGTTGCTGTGATTAATTGCAATCATAAGCGTGATTTGGAACAATTCATGCTTTGTAGGGGAGACAACAAATGGGGTAAGCACACATATTATAGCCATATACTTCAAACAATTAGAGCTGCTATATTTTATGAAGGAATTTTTTTCACTTTTTGGATGGTGTCAACAATAACAATGGTTATCCATGGAGAATAAGAGCATGATTGCTTAAAAATTCAGCAAAGTGAAAAATAACGAGGCATGAGAGTAAGCATACACGTCTCAACCCTATAATATCTCAAGACCATATCAAACTAGATTCAGATTTGATTTGTTCATGCATCATTGGTAAGTTTTTATTATATGTATGAAAGTATGTTTAATATCTTATTTCATAAAGCCTTTTTAGAATTAAAAAACTATGTTGATTTGTTATGTTCTCTGTAGGTATGGTTAATCTTGAACCATCATTGCCTATAAGTCTAATTCAAGTAAGGATGACTACTTAATTTGGATATAAAATTTCATACAAAAAGGCCTAGAAGGCAAAATAGAAGGCAATTGTAAGAATCTTTGGTGATTGGGATGAATCACATGCTACATTGCCAAGATAGTTAGAGTATATGCAATTTCATGTTGTTGGGTCTGTTTATAAGATTGAAACGAAGTCATTTGTTGTTGGGCATCAAGTGGACAACAGATTTAGAGTATTTGAACGATTGTTTTGGTGTTTTAATCAATGTAAGGAAGCTTTCAACTTTTGCAAACCTTTTATTCAGGTAAATGGAACATTTTTGTATGGTAAGTATCGTCACACATTGTTGATTGTAACAACACAAGATGAGAATAATTGTATCCTACCACTAGCATTTGTTATTGTTGAAGGAGAGACTCTATCAGCGTGGGAATAATTTTTGGTAATGATCCGTGCACACGTCAAAAGTGTCATTTCAAACTCATATATTGAATAGCAACCTCCTAATGCATTTCATGTTTATTGCATTCATCATAATGCAAGCAATTTCAATCATATATTCAAAAACATTGAATTGGAAAAACAATTGACAAAATTAGGTAATATGATTTAATGCCTTTTGTCTTCTTGTTACCTCATCTTTATTTTAATTATGACCAATGACATTATGTACACTGTAGCATATATACCTTCGAATGTTGTATTCAAAGATAAGTTGAGAAGATTTTCCAATGAATCACTAGAATTACAGAGGTGGATAGATAACATATCAAAGGAAAAATGAGCTTTGAGTAATGATGATAAAGGATGTTGTCATGGACACATGACCATAAATTTGTCTGAGGCTGTTAACAAGGTTTTGAAAGGGGCAAGAAACCTACCTATAACCACTTTGGTGAAATGCACCTATGGATAGATGGTTGAATATTTTGTGAAGTATGGAGAGGAAGCAATGAATGATCTCAACGCTGGAAAGAGGTTTTGTTCTAAATTGATGATAAAATTGCAGAAAAATCAAAAGGAAGCATATTCACATCAAGTAAATTGATATGATATAGAAAGAACAAGATTTGAGGTTGAAGAGGCCTTTAATCCTATCATGCAAAGGGGTGGTAACTAATGGACTATTGTATTGTGTAGAAGATATTGTGAATGTAGGAGATTTCAAGCATATTGATGAATCCATATTTTTACTGATATTTTAGCATAATTCTAACACAATTAATAAGAAAAATATATCAAGAAAGTAGAAAAACTCAGAAAAAAAAGAAGGAATTGAAGTTTGTTTACATATGTAGTTATTTTAACAATTGTAGAAATTTTGCTTAGAAATTAAGTTTTTAATCTTGTTTTTGAAGGAATAAATTGAGCAAGGATCATGGAAATGGAGGCTTGAAGACAAGGAAGAAGAAAGAAGCAAGTTTGGACTCCAAAAACACAAGACCAAGAAAGTGCAGACTGGGCGTGATCACTATTGTTAGTAAAAGTGATCACTCCATAGTTCAAAGAAGAAGAAAGCCTGGGCGTTATCACTTTTATCAATAAAAGTGAGCGTTCCAGAGAGGCAAATATCAGGAAAAGCTCTGCGTAACCATTATTATCAGCGAAAGTGAACGTTCCAGAGAGCCTTCAACCTGGCGAGTTGCGCGTAATCACTTTTATTCATAAGAGTGATCACGCGCAACCACTTGAGCTCTGCGTAGTCACTTTTATCAGCAAGAGTGATAGTTCCAGAGCTTTCAATATCAGGAAAGTTGCGCGTGGACACTTTTTCTCATAAAAGTGTTAACACGCAACCATAAACCTTCTGCGTGGCTACTATTTCTCATAAAAGTGATAACGCGTAAATCTAGGAAATTCTATAAATAACAGAAACATGTAGATTTTTCGGAGTTCAGTTTTATTTTTTCATTTTTCTGTTAGATCTCGTTGAGAGAGATTGAGAGAGAAGATTGGGGTCAAGTCTTGAAGCTTCCACAAAGAGGAATCGGATTAGAACTTCCGGCCATGACTTCTTGGAGTTTTTCTTCTTCTCCTTCTTCTTTCCCTTTCTCTTCTCCCATGTCTGAGTAGTTTTCTTGTAGTTAGGGGTTTATGGAACTCGAATTGATGTATTAATTTGACTCTTACTTTTGAATTTTGAGTTCTTGGATTAATTGAATTGTGAATTCTATTTTTCTTGCAATCTATGAATGGAAATTCATTTGATTCATCTTAGAGGAACAATTACCAATGGAAGTTGGATTTGCTTCTCCGATCTGAGTTTGCAATTAAAATTTGGGAATTTCTTAGGGATAAGGAGACCTAATTCTGCAATCTTAAGGTTCTAAGTCTTAATGCAACTTAGAATTGAACTTCACCTAAGGGATTAGGGTGGTTTAGTTGCTTGTTAGGGTCAATGAGTTAAGGAATTAACCTTTGGCTATTGATATGCGAAACTGATTGTCAATTAACCAAGTTCTTGAATGTTCAGAGGCTTAATTGAATTAATACTGATATTCTTGTGAAGTAAATTCCTAACTATTCTTCATTCCTATCTCATTTCATTACATACTCTGTTTTTCTGCAAGTTCTTTGCTTTAATTGCTTTGGTTTACTGCTGTTATATGTTACAAATCTCATTTCAAATTTGTATGGCTCAAATGGTTATAATTCGGTGAAGTGGTACTTGAAACCTAAATTCCCTGTGGAGACGATATTCTGATCTTAAATTTACTCATCACTTGCTGCAATCCTAGTGCACTTGCTAGTGTTAGATTGCGAACAACAAGTTTTTGGCACCGTTGCTGGGGAATTTTGAATTTCAATATCATTAGTAGCAGAAAAGTAGCTAGATTGAGCATTTATTTTTGTTGTTGTTCTGCTTTCAAGTTTTTCAGCATAATTTCTCTGCATCTTGTGTAGATTTCTGCATAAGTTCTGCTGTCTTTTGCATAAAGTTTTTGCATTCTCTGCATAATCTCGTTTTTCATGTTTCTGCATAATTGTAAACTTCATTCTGCATAATTTCTATGTTTTCTGCATTCATAAATTTCTGATTCTGATAGAATTAACACTGTATTTTCTGCATAATTTTGTTTTTCATTCTTCTGCATAATTTTAATTTTTGTTCTGCATAAATTTCTGTGTTTTCTACATATTCTGTTTTGTAGCTTTTCTGTTTTCTTTTGCATTTTTCTGCATAATCTTGTTTTTTTATTTTTCTGCATAAATTTCTATATTTGTTGCATGTTATGTTTTGTACTTTTCTGCATAATTTCATATTTCATTTTCCTAGTTATAAATTTGATTAGACTTTTGTTTTCTTTCTTATTGTATGCAAGGAAAAACCAGAAAAATAAGTTGCTCTATTGTTTGATGGCAACCATCATGTATCAGAATTTTTATCAAAGCCAAGTTGCAAGAACAGAAGCTTATGAACCAGATACTCTTAATGCTTTGATTAATAATTTTCAAGCTAGAGTTGCCCAAACTAACCCATTGGTGTGTGATTTTTACAGTGAAAATGATTTGAATGAAATATATGATGTGGTTGCACCAGAATTTCAAGAAGAAATCAATTTTGGAGGAAATTTTCAAAGATCTGAATATACCTTTCCTCATGAATATCAATATCAAAATAACATAAGTCAGCCATATTATGATTGGAATCAACAAATGTCAGCAACAACAACACCTTTCTCAAGTCCTCATTCTTCACAGCCTTACTTTCAAGTGTCATATTCTCAACCTCAAAGAGGACAACAGCCTTCAAAGAATCTTCCAAATAGAATAAATGAACTTGAAGAAACTTTGCTTCAATTCATAGAATTTACTCAATCAAGTTTCAAGAATCAAGAGGCATCTGTGAAGAAGATGGAGATGCAAATAGGACAAATTTCAGAACAATTGATGAATAGGAATTATGAGGAATTTCCTAGCAACACCATTATGAATCCAATAGAGCAATACCAAGCTGATTTCACAAGGAGTGAGGTAGAAATTTCAAGTTCAAAGGCTGCTGAAAAAGAGAAAGCATTAGATGAATCTGAAGGAAACAAGATTCAAGATAAGCAACAAGAGGATTTCAGGGAAGAGCAGTTAAAAATTTTAAAGAAAGAAGAACCAAAGGACAGCAACAAGACACAACTGGAAAAAACTAAAAAACGGTTGTTTGAAGATGTAGATAAGCCAATGGATGAAGCTAAACACAAAAAGCTTCAATTTCTTCAAGGAGTGCAGAATTTCAAGCAGGAAAAACAGAAGAATGATTCTGTTATAAGAGAAGTCTTTGCTGTAATGACTTATGAAGATAATGAAAAGGTGGGAAAAAAACTTAATGACTATACCAAACTGCTGGAAGTCCCTCCACTTTTATTTCTCTTAAGTTCTAAATTAAATGAAGAGCTACAAGTTGGTGAGAAAAAGGGGAAACGGTTAAAGATAGAGCAAGAGCCGTTATCATCAAAATAATCTCTTAGAACCAAAGATCAATAAGCGTCAAGCTAGTGACGTTAAAGAAGCGCTTTGTGAGAGGCAACTCACATTTCTAACTCATTTTAAGTTTTTTTGTATTGTTTTAGGAGTTTGTATTTCATATTCTGCAGTTTCTGAAATTTGTAATTCTACATATTCATTTTTTTAATTCCCTACAAGTTCTGCTGCATCTGATTTTCTGAAGTGAATCTGATAGTTGATTAGAGATTTGATGTGGTGAATGTGTATTTGAAGGTTTAAAATTCTGCATAATCTGAAACTTCTGCAATTTGATTATGCTGCATATCTCTGCTGAAGTGAATTTGGTACTTGATTTGAGGTTCAATGTTTAGAATGTGTATCTACAAAATTAGAAATCTGTATAATCATGTTTTGCAATTTTATCTAAGTTCAGCAATATTTTTGAAAAATTGGATGATACTTGGATGATTCCTCTGCGTTAACCTGATATGTTTTGAGAGTACCTACTCTGAACTTATATATGAGGATTTAACATGAATTGATTGTGAATGTTAAGTTTGTGCAGTTATGTGTAGGTAGTTATATGTTGATTTATCT